ATTTGTGCAAGCAGAGAACATTGATATAATCTATCATGTTGCCGTGGCCGTAATGTCGGACTGCGACTACGACTTGGAGTGACCATTGTAAACCTACCGGTCACCAAGTCTGTGCTTTGTGAGTGTGTGCCTCCTCGGCGCAATTCATGACGTCAGACTGTATCGAGTGGACTAGTGATCGACTTTGTTGAGTTAACCGATCGCATTACTAGCGTTCGCTTAGCTGTCAAGTTTATCTGTCTTGTAATTGTATTTGCCGAAGAGTTCTATGCGCAAGTGCTATGCTTCTATTATCTGAATGGGCATAAGTAATGAACTTCCAGAGGCATCTTATACCTCCTATGACCCTCGTTTTGTCAGTGCCTGTGTTCTTCGCCAATGTGATTTTTCCCGGTTTTCGGAGTTGTCAGGTAATTACCACACTTATCCCGACGTAGCGGCGTTCCGATGCCTACTTTTATCCACACGCTTCTGTCTACAAACACCAACTGGCATCTCAGATGCCAGCCGATACAAGTCATCCGCTTCATGACGTTTTATCTGAGTGTCTATCAACTCCGTTTACTAGACAGAAGTACAAGTTGACATACGCTTGTCGGTCATCCCTTATCTTTCGGATTCTCTGCGATAACCTAACTCTGTGGTTCTACACCTAAGCAGCCGATTCGCCGTATGATGGCGTTCGTGACTTTTCTTCACTAAGTCGCTTTTACGATACCGTTTTGTAATTGATTTATAATCCGATACATTGCTGAGATTGAATATATTGTAGCTGAATAATCACCCGCCAAGGGTACATAAAGCAATTTCTTGACTTGAGACATTTAAGCTCCCCTTTTGTATTACGCGCCCAAAAAACTTTCGCCCCCTCCACATCTATGTATTGTGAATACTCGAATAGTTGCATTAATTTTACAGCTCCCACTATATAATCATACCCAACATCTTAAAATTTATTTGATAAAACCGTAAAACAGTCCTCACTTCAATCAGCCAGCATAAACATTTTTCGAAACGAATAAGTAGTGCAGCTTCTGTGAAGCCATTGGTTTTCAATAGGTTACGGGTGTATTCCAAAATCCTAAGTCCTCAAATGTAACCTTTTCTCTCTGTGAAATTCACAAATATCTTCAATTCCTAGGGGCCAAGCCGTAATATCCATGGACTGGAATCGTAGAAATCCTACTTATTGCAAGCCAAGTGGTTGCAAAATTGCGTGGTGCGAGTGGGTCAATCGTTCCATTATACCAGACTGTGAACGTTTACATTTTTTTGGGAGAAAGTACATCCCATCATGACCCAGTCGGACAGCATCCAAATAGAGGCGCTAAAAGACTGCATGGTCGGACGAACCTTTCTATAAAAAAAATTACCACCCTGTGACCGAAAGGACAAGGCGTCTAGCTTGTTAACTGGGGATCGCGAGCTTGATCCTACTTTGGGGACCGGGCGACCCTTGCAGTATCCTTAGCCCTCGCGCGACTAGTGGTGGTCGCCTGGCAACAAAGCGTCGGCACATCGTACTATGGATAGCCCTTAAAAAAAGAAATTTCCCACTACTACTGGTTGGCAGCTTACATGCCACCTCGATTCATTGCGGCTGTAAGACTCCTAGTTGTGTGGGCAAGCCAATCCATATAGATAACACTGGAGGATGAGCCGTGCTATAGTGCAGCGATTTAAGCTGCTGGCTTCGGATCCAACGGAGGCGTAGTAATGGCCAGTCCCAATAGGCCAAAAGCGACGTCAATCAATTCCCCGGAGGTGCAGCACCTATCTGGCTGATCTTGGTTGCGAAGAATCGTATTGAAAAATCGTAAAGACAGGATTCACTCTTGTGCGTACAATGTGACTTCGTTCCCATCTCTTCAGATGCATAAAGTGGGTCAATGAAAGTTCACAACATCCTGAACAGATGTCATCTGCCGTTTTATGGTTGCCTAATCATCCATGAAGAGTTAAAAATGTGGGAAACGCGGACTGTGCGCCAACAACTTTTACTTTCAGGACTTGGAAGAGAAATTAGCTTTATCTTCAACGCAACTTCCAGATGTATCAACAACCCTCTATGATGCAAACGAAAAAAGTATGGATGCACGAAACAGACTTAGCACACATTCGCATGACAGAAAATCGCGAAGGTGACCGCGCGCCGGACCGAGTGGACTGAGAAATCACCATCAAGGAAGAGAAAGATTGCGTTTGGAAAACACCAGCAATCCTCATAGAGTGAGCTTGTAAAGGCAACCACAGTGCTAATCAGGAGAAAACCGCAGGATTTCCAAAGCTCTATGGAAGAGAAGTCGAGGACAGAGCTTTCGGCTGTACGTAGTCTTGTATAGTCTCAACACCACATGCTGAGGTTGACGTTGCATACACCCCGCTGCATCAGCGCAGTTGGGCTACACCGACTTACACTAAAAGTAGATTTTCCTAATCCGGATAAAAAGTATTCCACTTTATTTGATTTGCTCAGTTCTGTTATTCTGCTGCAAATTCCGCACAAAATTTGCGTGCTCATTTTCCTTAATCTTCTATGTTCGTTTTTGATATTCCGGGTGTGGCTGCGCTTGATGTGTATGTTGACAAAGTGCTTACTTGTCTTACACCCTCCACCACGACTACTTGCTCCAGGAGACTACTAATCTTTGCAGCGTGCTGGGAGTGCACGGTCGTCGTGGCCGTGCCAACCTCAAACAGTGGTTTTATACAGTGTGGAGCGGAGTGCGGCCCAAGCCTCACCTTGTGTACGTCGGATACGCATGATTCCCCAATTAGACAGGAATACTGCTGCTGTGCATGGTGAAGGAGTGTGGGCCGTCTCCGTTGATGAAACGTGGCTCCCATCCACATGCCTCCTGGTCATATTCCTTCGGGTTTACACTGGATATGGGTGTGTGGTTGGAGCTGTGCGTGGTGCAGCGCAAGCCATCCATGGTCCCTCTGTAGGCGCAGGCATCCTGTGGTTGGCCACAGTGACAGACAAATCCGAAACCGGATGCCGCCAATTATACGCTCTCAGAAATTTGTCTGCCAGCTGAACTTAATAAAACCGACAATCGCAAAAATAGTTATCCATGCAGAAATAAAAGATTTCTCCTTGCTGTGCTTATGTGGTAACGCAATGGAATAGTGCCAGCCAGAGTTGATTATGGTTTGAATGCCGCAGCATTATTGCAAAATGCGAAACCGGGAACGACATGTTAGCCGTCCTCTGTGAACATGGTGTGTACGGATCATTCACGACCCAGACACTTAGAGGATGTAGTGCGCCTAGGACCGGATGAAGCTCGTAAATTGAGAAAGCACAGAGTATCCCGGGTGGATATGGTGACAGAAGCAGAACGGATGCGAAAGGACCAGAAACAATCAAACAAGATTGGTTGATCCACTGTGATGGTGGGATATCGCACTAAAGGTGTGACGTCCAATGATAAAACAGCTGCAGGCAAGCCGGTGCATTAACGCTGGTAACCCGGAGAGAGATAGCGGAGAACTAATTGAATCCGAACGCAAGATGATGTGATATATGCCCACAAGTTATGTGTAAACTTCCGGAATGCTAAAATATCCCGAGGAAAGCGTGAGTTTCTGTTGCGTGGTCATATGAGCAGGAGAGGATGGAATTAGGCGTCGGTTCGGGCGGAAGGGAGTCAAGATGGATGAATGAATGTGAAACGAACAGTGTTAAGTGTTAGCAAAATGCAAGTGCCACATTGAACCAAATAAGACACACTCATCTTTGCAGTACTGAGTGCATGAGCGTAAAGCCGTGCGAAAGCGAATATTACAACGATGAAATATATGTACAAAGTGATCGAGGACAGACATATGGTGGTATGAGAGGAAATTGGTCGTATGTACAGTGAGGAGGAGAACGTCCGCGATAAATAACTACGAGGAGGCAACCAATAAAATAAGAATTCATCCCGTAGAATCTGGCTAAAAAAGCGAAATGAGGCGCATGAACAAGCGTCCCAACGCGTAAATGACAAGCCCGATAAGCATGGCATTAAGCAAACTGATTAACTCGGAAAGCACATCGCTCAATGTGTCCACACGGCCGAACAGTACAGACAAGCAGAAACGGATCAGTCCACGATGCTTTGATCGTTTGCGGGAGCGGGATTTTCTTCTATGTGGAGTGGATTGTTGCGTACCCTGGGATCTGGTACGCAAGCGACTGACGCTTGTGATGAAGCTGTCTTCACTGCATTCCGATACATCTTGTGTAGGAGGAGTTGGGTAACAAGGTACTGCAGAACGATATTTCGTGGCGTAGGAACTAGCGCCGACAGAAGTTGTGGTTCCACGCAAGCGATCGTCCCGCGGAGGCCAGCTAAGTACAGACGCCCGGAATAGTGATTTAGGTGGGGAAATGTTTAGCCTATGGGCTAAATCTGGCAACAGATGATCTTGTTTTAAAGATGACGAGTACGCACTACAACCTCCGCCGATAGAAGAGTACACTGAAGGACTCCTTGAGGTTATTCTGTCGCTGGTATCATCAAAAGTGCTGTCCGATAAACCGCGAGTGGGCCAAGATTTTGCCAACGCCCGTTTCTGAGCACGCCAATCACTGGAGCAAAAGGTAAGCCAAGCTTTGATGCTCAAAAGAGACACAAAAATAAGTGGAATGAGGACAATACCCAAAATCGCACATCCATAATAGCGTAATGAGAAGTGCCCATCAGTTGAGCCACCAGTAGAGTTAAAGAAAATCGGTCCAGTCAGTGAAATCAAGTAATCGAGCACCAATATGAGCACACAGACATCTATCAGCAGAACAATGGGTCCAAGCCTCAAGCCATGAGGTTTATGAGGGCGTTCTTCGTGGGACCACCAGCGGCGGAAAATGAGCAACAGCTGGATGAGCAGACACAGGAGGCAAAACCAAAACTGTGCCAGCAACGGAACGTTTAGCTGACCAGAAAGGATCAACAAACTCGGGCACCACGATGGGGCGTGTAGCTGTGTGTGGTTGAACCTCAGTCTAGATACGATGTGATCAAAAGTGGACAGATGTTGGCGAGTACGCACCAGACAATAGTGATTCGTGAGGGCAGTGACTACGAGACCCGTCAAGATGACAGAAATGCATACGAAACTGGACAACCGTAGCAAGAAATGCAAGAGCCAAGGAGAGGCGAATAAAGATTCAGTGGATTTGATCTTTCTCTTCTTTTTCGTCCTACGATGAGCCGAATCCTCAGCAAAAATGTGAGAGCGTAGCGTATTCCACCAGTCCAGAAAAGTGGGAAGGACTTTCAGATTCACCTGGTAAATTGGGGCGGGGAAAGCGGTCGAGTGTAAAACAGTGCAATAGACGGGGTGAAAGCGCAACGCAGTAACGTCATAACAATCACTAGAGTGCGAGTAGGTTTTACTTATGTCATACTATCATACAGGTGGAAATAGAAGAGGACCGCACAGCAATAAGGGACGTAAGCGATTTAAGCACAAACAAGTGAGCCTCGTGTCTGTCAAACGGACAAAGTACCACTTGTGTAGATTAAGGTAAACAGAACCACCAGCCACGCAGTTTGCTCAGCTGCACGGTTAATCAACTTTGACCGAGATGTGGCGGACCCAAATACAATTAGCATCGTCGCCATAATAAGGACGGTATATGTAATTATTATCTGTAAATGAGAAAGGAAAATAGAGGAGCGCAACCAATGAGATTTGAAGGAAATCCAAGAAAAAGAATGCAAAATCGTGGGGTCAGAATCTAAACTAGACCGCAAACGTGCACTACTAGACATGTTCTCTAACAACCGAGGTTGCCGATCCTAAAGTTGCCAGCTAAGAAGACGGCAAACACCATGTCGGCTAATTGCTTCAAGCTTCTTCGCCTTGAGTCTACACTTGAGTAAGAACTGCTACTGAGAATTCCCTGGGGCTGGAAGGTATGACCAGCAGAAAACAGAAGAACATGATTCAGTCAGTGTAGACAATGCAACTGCAACAGGCAACACAGTGTGATGACAGAGGCAGACGAACGACAATGGCAGTTCTCCTTGACTTCGATGTTGTGGGCCGTAGCAGCTTGCGATACTGCTTACCCTCGACGTATGCGCAGGGGAAACCCCTATATTTGCAACTCATGAGGAAGGGAAAAGGTCTATGCGAAACTGTATCCTGAGTTATCTCCTGCAAATAATGTGAACCAGCATTGCCACTTCAAGTCCAACATCAACGTGTTTATGGATGATGCTGTTTCATCCAGCTCACCTGGAATTCGGGTTCTATAGGTTAATAGACTGACAAAGAAGGAAAACGAGAATGACATGGCCCACCTTTGATCGAAGTCAACTCCCGTCTAAACACTTCTGAATAAATTGACGCAGAACGCTGCATACTTTGGTATGTCTTTCGAAACTTCAAGTCACTAAGCAATGCTGTAAAACTGAGTTCCATACCGCAGCTCTCCCGCAACAGCCAGTAGAACAATTGGTAAACTCAGCTGCCTCGGTAGTCACCTCTGGTTGTCATTTCAATAAAAACAGTACACTATCGTCAGTTTATGTTACTTTCCAGAATTTTAGTAGTCTGTGGAGAGGTAGGTATGTATATGAGCAGAAGGCAAGATGTGAAAGTCGACAGCAAAGCTGATGGAAGTGAAGTTATAGCATTCGATACGCGGTGCAGTTGGAGTATTGCTCCTACTTCGTGCTAGCACCGAGCAAGTAGTAATGGCCGTTTAGCTGCGACGAATCTTCAAAAAACCACAAAGGCACATACTACTAATTAATAAGCAGTAATCACTTTAGCAACCAACATGTCATTTAGACTGGTGGCGGCTTGCAAAAGTGTGGCTATGCGGGCCAGCCCTGTCCTCTGCACGTTCATCACATGCATAACAGTGGAGAGTCAGCCGCGTTATATTGCAGTTATAAATCAGACAGGGCGAGCCACCGCCGTCCCCTATGGCTCAGTGGCACAACTCGCTGAATCGTAAGTAAGGTCATGGGGTTCGAATCCAGCAAGATCCGGTAGGTGCGCGCTACCGACGGGTCCCATAGGGCGAGGCGGCCGTCTAGCGTATTCCTGGACGTGTGGTGTTTGTCTGACTGAGTAAAGCTGCGGTAAATCCTTTCAAGCAGCGCTGAAGTTTGACGATTGGTACCGCAAAGTGGGGTAACTTAGGCCACTTAAGGTTAACTTTGGGTCAACAAGAGAAAAATTACAAACTTAGATTACACTTATTTTTCCTATTTAATGTTTGGTAAAATTAGTTTTGTGTTGAAAATTCATTTTTCATTAATTTGAAATCATTTGATGATGAACTGGAATACCCGGTCTTGAGTATACTTCTTGTCAAAGAGGGCCGGTGTCATGACGTGTTTAACATACGGTATACTTTCATCTGTGGAACATGATTTCAAGAAAGTGACAGTACAACCATCTCTGTTGTTGCGTTTTGAATAAGCAATAGAAAACATTTGATGTTATCCAGATATTTTATAGTGCATTATGTTACTAACGGAGAAAAGAATCCCGGAGAGGACATCAGAAGCAAAAGAGGGCTAGGCGAACAAGCTTGTTTTAGGTGGTTCGCATCAGGCCAATACACCACAGGAAATAGGAAGAAAACGAACACAAGGTAGTTAAATACGATGTATCAATGAAATGAATTGACCGGTCAATGAGATTAAGTGACAACGCCGGCTAGGGCAACATTAATGGGTTAAGCGTGGCGTCGTTACATGGGGTAGCTTGAGGCCATGGTAGCTGTACAGCCTGTACGAACTTTTGAGCACATAAGTTGGGGTTAAAGAGCTGAATAGTGATTGCCTCCGCTATCGCTAATAGGCGACATCGGAGAGCTCGCGTGGCGTCCAGTTATCCTGTAGAGAGACCGGAAGGCCTCTCGCACATTTACTTGGTGATTTGAGTCGACCAAATGCCACAGCACCGGGCTGACTACTGTCTTCCTGACACCAGTGTAGAGCGACGCCGGACAATGTTCTCGGACTCTCTCAGACAGTCGCCTGGTCGTCTTTCCAATACAACTTGCTCGACACGAGTAAGAAAAATGATACACACAGAAGGAAATATTCGACCTCGTTATCCTGTCCTTGAGAGGTTGACTCACAACTGGCGTAGAAGTGAAGCTGACACGGAGGTCAGCTGCAAAGTAGGTTCTCGAGGTTGCATTGCAACGCCTTCGAGGAGTAGTTCGTTCTACTATCATAGCACCCTTGAAAGACAGTGATATGCAGGGTAAACGCCTTTCTGCGGCGATTGGTTAGACTTTTGGTGCTCGTGACTCCATGTGCCTCCGGATGAATTTGTCCGGATAACCATTTTGTTCGAGAACGCTTCGAATGAAACTCAATTCATCCGACAGCTTATCTTCCGTGTACATTTTCCTCGCTCTTTCCGTTAAACAACGGACAAGGTTGCGTTTTTGACTCATTGGAACGAAACTGGCGAAATGGGTATACTGGCCGCTCCAAGTTGTCTTTCTGTGTACTCTCCTTTGTACTGTCCCGTCTGATGTCCTGGTGATGTGGACATCTAAGAATGACAAGGAGTTGTTATTTTCAAGTTCTATGGTGAACATCATGTTGTTGTGGGCAGCGTTGAAGTGGGCTAGCAGATCTTCGATGCATACTCGACCATCCGCAACACAAAATATGTTATCAACGTATCGACCGTAGTAAACCAAGTTGTTGATACATTCGTTTAGCTGGGTGTGCTCCAACTTATGAAGGACATCGGCGAATAGAGGTCCAAATGGTGAACCCATAGCTACCCCGTCTATTTGTCTGCAAAACGAGTATAAGTTGCCCTAAACGGTCATTTGGGATATCGACGGTGTGTAATTGGATAAACTCGCAAATATCCAGTGATCTCTATTAGAGGGACGTTGGTGAAAAGTGACGCCACATCTAGCGAGAACATCTCTCGCTCGGCTTGATCAAGTTGTTGCACCGAGTCAAGAAATTCGAAAGTGTCCCGGAGGCTGTACCTAGATATGGCTTTCCTGACCGGCTCGACGCGTTTGACAAGCTACTTAGCAGTTAGATGATAGGGAGAGTTGTACATGTCCAGTATCGGTCTCAGCGGTACACCTAGTTTGTGGATCTTAGGTAAGCTATAAAGCCTCGAAATAAGTGTTCCACTAGGTCTGGCATATTCAAAAGTGTCAGAGTCTATGATGTTATCTTGTTTCAAACGTCGCAAAAGTGTTGTCATGGTCTTCATAACTGCCGGCGTCCTGTCTTTCTTCTTTTGCACTTTTCGGGATTTTGATGCGTCTCCTAGGATGATGTTGATCTTATCAGTATGATCCGACTTGTTCATCAATACAATCCCGGCTCCTTTGTCCGGTCCAGATAACAAAACATTCTCGTTCTTCTTGAGTTCTTTCAGGGCGTCTAAATGCCTGTTCTTTAGGAGATATTTGATGGTCAGTTTGTAAATCAGGTACTGGTAGCATATGTTTAACAATGTGGATTTGTATTTTTCAGTTGCTAATGCTAAGGATGATGTTAAGGTAGAAACTTGAGAATAGCAGTTTTTAAATTGAACTTACGAGTCTAACTGTTGTACATTAGCTCGGGGGGTAACCGAATTTCGGGCCGAGTGAGAGGACTTCCATTTGCTCTCTCGAATTGCAAAGAGGAGAAATTGTACATGTATTTCTCAGGGTCAGTTACACGACTTTTTCGAAGCGATCTGGCGCCGTAATGAGGCTAGTCGTACGTCCACTTGTCGAGCCGTAATTCGCTGAACGGAGAATTCGAAGTGTTTGTATTCGTCATCGCCCAATTCACTCAGTGCGTCGGAGTAGATACCCGGTTTGCGGTGAAGTTCATTCAATCCGAGGAACAACCGTGTCTCGCTTGTTTAGAGTGTGAATGCTTCAAAGCAGTACTTGTTGGATTAACTCCATTAAGTCTGAGAAGCTTCCAAAAGTACTTGGGATATTCACGGCGTAAACGCACTCACACAAAACGGTGCACAGTCGCCTTCAGTATCGCAAAGTCTTGTGCCTGAAACCTAACGTTTTGGTTAAGTTCTCTCAACCATTGGGATCCTTGAACTGTTTCAACTGAGGAAATAATCCAGGAGGGGACATACGAAGCAAAAGACGCTGGGCGAACCAGCTTGTTATGTTACTGTCTTGGATGTCCAATGTTACCACAATAAGTTATTATTTTTGCAGTAAGTTTGGCCAGTTGGCCAAGTAATATATTTGAAAGAACCGGCACCAAGAATCATGAGGGGAATATGAACTGGTCAGTCAGCAATTAGCCTGATGTTCG